CATAAACGACCTCCTTCAAAATGTCTAATGAAAGCTTACATTTTATCAGCCTCAGCCTACACAGTATCACAGACTCAGTGTGAAGTAGAAGCAAAGTCAATAAAACACTAAGCCTTTCCACTGGAACTCACTATTGAATGATAGCATTAATAAGACTAATGCAGCAATATCTGCTTCATATATGAGTTAAATCTGACATAATGCTCTGTACTGCACTAGTTTTTAGGCTCCTCTCTCAGGCGTGTCATCATCACAGAGTGGGATGCTGTGAGCTGCTTGATCCTTTGAGCCGGTCCTCAGGTTTTTGTTTAGAGCCAAACGATACCTGCTGTTTTCTGTGAAAGTTTCCCTTTCATGATCATTATCAGAAATGAAATGTGTAATGTGTAGAAGCAACTATATGATGCGTGTTGGAGTGATGGTGCTTTGTGTACTGATTAAGGCTCTATTTTTTCCCAATTCATGTTTCACCACATTTAAAGGTCCAGTGTGTAACATTCAGGTGGATCTACTCGCAGAAATGGAATATAATATTCATAGCTATGTTTTCATTAGTAATTAATAAAATGCTAATAAGAATTGTTGTGTTTTGTTTTTTTTTTTTACCTTAGAATGAACTGTTATCTACAGAGGCGGCAGGTCCTTATCTGGCAGAGCCTACCATATTAAACTGCTGGGTACACAGTGGTCCTTTATGTTCAGTTTTGTGATGGTAACAGTGTGCTGCCTCTTTTTAGATGAAATTGGAACACAACTTGATTGTGGGGGAAAATAGCATTTGTAATTTTCTGTTTGAATTCAGAATGTTCAGAGGACAGTGTAGCAGGACAGACCGTCCTACTCTGGGCTTCTAAAACTGCTCTGTCCTTCTGGCCCATTGCATACTGTGTTCAGTAAACTAGGCTTTTGTTGTTATTAGAGGTGGGCGATATATATAGTTTTCGATAATACGCTTTACGATGTGCAAATTTCCATTATCGAGTATTTAAATTACTTCACCAAAAATATTGAAATGCACGTGGAAACTCCTCACATCCACTTAATACAACGGTGCAGCCTACTACAGCATGGCAGGATTCAGTCACACTAGTGGGCCTACGTGATCACATGACGTGATCACATGACCTCTCGCTAGCATCCTCCTTGCAACAGTTTGCACGCGTTGTGATGGTAGAGAGAAAATGCAAACACCTCCAGTCCCTGAAGCTACCGGTACTTCAGATGATTTAGTGCCGAGACGTGGGTCTACCTCTCTGGCATGGAAATGGTTTGGTTTCGAAAAGACTTTTTTAGCGCAGCGCTCAGAGCGCTTCAAGTTGAAATCTGTTCAACCTTTAACACCGCTGGACGCTCAGAAAATGAGTTTTTGAGCTCTCAGTGCTAAAAACGCATTTGGTGGACACAAGCCCTAACTCAGACAATTCCAATCACATTTTAAAGGATATCGGCTGATTATCGTTATCGCCAAAATCCCAAAAAATAACGAGATATTATTTTTTGCCCATATCGCCCACCCCTAGTTGTTATTGACTTTGTTGACACAAAACAAAGAAAACTAGTGAGCTAATAGAAAATAATGACACAAACCATCTGAGAAATAGTGTGGGCAATCTGTAGCTCCCGGCTGCATCGGCCCCATGACATGTCACATGAGGCCAGCTGAGGATGAAGCAGCCCAGTCTAGTGCTTCTGGCCCAGAGCTGTTTGTCATGCTGTGTACCCTGATACAGGTCTTTCATAGCTACCACACAGTCTCACGCATTGTGCTTTAATCTTACAGCTTCTGTTCTTGCTCTTAGCTATGGTTTCATAAAGAATGGAATGAAATACTAGATATCTGTTTTGTTGTTGTTGTTCAGTTCTAACTATAATTTTATGTTCTAACTGCCCTGGAGCACAGAGCGATTATAATACTCTTCTTTGTGAAAGTCCTGAAGACCGTCAGGTTTGTGTTGCTTTATTTTAAAATCCAGAACTTTTACTGAGAGTTACTGTATGTCAGACACTGTGTTCTCTCAACAACGCAAACTAAAGTCTTTATAGGTAACAGGGTATCTGGTGTAGCATCTGGTGTTTACAGACTGTTTTGATCTCACTGTTGTGTGTAGTGGAAATGTCAAATCAATTCTGAATAAAAGCACTTTTGTTTTTACAAACATTTCCAGCTTAAATTCAACTGAAAGGCAGCATTCACCGTGATAGGTTTGAAATGGTGTGTTAGTCCAATCATGTTTGCTCTTTACCGCTATGAGAACATCATTTTCTAGACATTTTTATTCGGTTTAATCTGAAGAATAATTCATTCATTCAGATGAAGATTTGAAAAACTGTAAAATGAGCATGTAAAATACAGGCCAATCAAGAGCTGGTGAAAATCTGACGTAGGTAGTACAGGGACATATCCATTGCATGAGGTTCACTTGCTCCACCTATGCAATCCAGTTTGTAGTGTATGAAAAAGTTTCTTCTCGTAGTTAGTAGTCAGTTATATACTGTAGGTATATAAGTGTATTTTTCAGTTCTGTCCTCATAATGCTTCTTTGTCCTTCCAGTTTTGGTAATCTTTTGCAGTGCCAGTATAATTTAAACAACCTTCTAACCTAAAGAGGCTCTAGTGTTTAGGAGAGGGATGATACTAAATTATATATTAATACTGGGTCTGAAAATTACCACTTCTAAATGCTCAAATATGTCTCTGGAGAATAACTCAGTATGCAGGAACAGAGGGCAACCAATCAAATCAAAATGGAACAATGGCTTTGTATCCAGCAGAGTGCTAAATGGCAGCCTGCTGAGCTGGTCTGCATTAAACCCCCTGGATGGTTAACAAGCCCAACATTTGCTGAAACTTAACACTGTTTTTCTTTGGTGGCTCATAGACCAAGAAAAAACATCCATAATTGATAGATCCAATTTCAGCGTCTTCTTTTTCTTAACACCTGTTCTGTCTGCATCTGTTTAAAGTAGGTTGAATCAGTAGCCTGTGTGCTCTTGACAACTTATAGAAAGGACAAAAGTTTTTCTATTTGTTGAGATCTTTATATATCTACATCTGTCTTTATGTCAAGTCTAGCCACATTAAAAGAGGCAGGGGGAGCAGTTTTGGCGTGCCAGTGTGAGTCTTGGCTGTGGATGGGTCAGGTTCAGCCAGGGTGCTGCTGCTGATTATTGGAGCATGGACTGCCAACAGTAGCCCAAGGGAAGGCACGATGTGGGCTTGTCATCTCCATCACCAGCTGCACTTCAGAGGATTTCCCCTGGGCAGCATGCACATGTGTGCACACACAGAGCTGTGGTCCGCAACACAGGAACACCTTCTAGCCTGGAAAAAGAACTGGGTCAGGCCAGACGGTTGTGATAGAAATAGAAAGGGCAACACTGCTGACAATGTTTGAAACCCAGCATTAACACCAAATATGCACTCTTCCTGAACTTGAAGCCAGTCTCTGCCTGGGAAACTGGCCAGTGTCATTCTAAGCAGTAACTAGTCTCTGTCTATCCTGCGTACAGTTTAATAGTCTACTTTTACTTTACAGTTTCACTAGGCAGTTTCTTTACAGCTCTGTAGTTTATTTTGATAGATTTTGGTGTATTTGATGATCACTCTTTAAAAACTTGTTTTCTACATTAAAGCATAATTCCAGTGTACTTCAAGGCTCAACAATAAGGCAAGTAAACTTTCACTACGGGCTGGTAAGTCTAGCGACTCATTTGCCCAATTAAAAAAAGAACGAAACACGTCGTTTTTTCGTCGCTGATGATTGAAGTAGCTAAGGAGTGAGCCATCTCACTTTCTTTTAATCCTTTTGAGTGTGTCAGTCGGACAGAAGGAGAGAATGGCAATGGTAAAGTTTATGAGCTGAAGTGCAAGTTAGCATTTCAATGATCCTGGAAACAGGAGTTTAGTTGGGAGGCGTTGTGCTGGAAGGCCATAATAAGAGCTGACAGCATCTTGCTTGCACGCAGCTATAGGGTCTGATTACTGCTAATAAATAAAACTATTTGTATAGGGGCAAGTAAAAATAAACGTCCGGCCAGTAGATTCGTCATCCATTTGCCCGACTGGGCAAGTAAAAAAAAGATATTACGTACATAATCATGTACCCTGTACTCTGGAATTGTTGAGGGCACTGTATAGTGGATAGATTTACACACAATAAAATGACAGATAGTCAATACAGTGCTCTGTATAGTTAATAGAGAGTGATTTTAGACACGGCATTAGTCTTGTTTTATATTCAATTCAATTTTATTTGTATAGCGCCAATTCATAACAGAAGTTATCTCAGGACACTTTTCAAATAGAGCAGGTCTAGACCGAACTCTTTAAAACATTATTTACAGAGACCCAACAGTACCACCATGAGCAAGACCTTGGAGACAAGGGCAAGGAAAAACTGCCTGTTAAAAGGCAGAAACCTAGGACAGATCCTCCGGCTCTAGGTGGGTGGTCGTCTGTCGTCTGTCTGTCACAGACAGAGGTGCACAGCAACAACTACACTAATAGTAGTGACTGATGATGATGAACATGAAGAAGATGATGGCGACGACAACAACGATGGGGGACAATGAGCAGCGACAATAGTAATAATAGTAACTGTAGTAGAGATCTTCTATAGCAGATAATAAAGAAATGTAAAAATATTCCAGAAATTGTCCATTGTAAATATTTATTACAGTTTACCGACCGACTTTATGATTCAACTTTAATCAATTTGTGACCTCTGCACTCCTGATATTCCTCCATGATTTTGGTCCCTCTCTTTGTTTTATTCTGGATCTATCTGTTAATTCCTAATAATTAAAGTCTGATGAATTCACTTCACCACCAGAGAACAGAATTCAGAAGACAAGCCTGTGGACTCTTTTAGAAGGAGTAGCATGGTATTATAATTAGACTAGAATAACATCGAGCCATGACAGAACCTGTTAGCACAATGGGAGTCCAAGCATCCTTACCTAAACGTAGCCATTGTACTGATGTTCTTCTTGTTTTCCAGGGGGAAGTTTGCTGTGGTCAGGAAGTGCGTTGAGAAATGCACGGGCCACGAATACGCCGCAAAGTTCATGAGGAAGAGACGGAAAGGCCAAGACTGCCGGATGGAGATCATCCATGAGATCGCAGTGCTGGAGTTGGCCACAGCCAGCCTCCGGGTGGTCAACCTCCACCAGGTCTATGAGATGGCTTCTGAGATGGTGCTGGTCCTAGAGTTGTAAGTATCCAACCCGCACAGGACACCAAAACGCTCTAAGCAGCCAGAAATACATGTGCCAAATAGTTGGAAACGTCAAAACCTTTGGTAATTCTGGATACTCACAAAGCTGGTTAGCAATTGCCTCAGTTGTGGCTTTTCCTACCCAGTCATGAGTATATTCACATGAAAGAGTTTTTAATTACAAGCAACATAAAGAGAACCATGACTACTTAATATGGCATGTGACGAAGCCGTGACACACGACAAAAAGTGATCTTCACTGATGTAAAATGCAATAATCACACAACTGAAATAGGACAAAAAGCTGTAGAAACAAAGTATAGTTATTACTATCAGTAAGTGTTTACAGCCCAGAAGTCTGCTATTAGTGGGAAAATCTATATATTTTAGCCATTCATTTTATATTCATGATATTCACGCGAGGAGAGTGTGCATGAAATAATGATTGTCATCTGACAGCTGGGGTGGACGCAAAACTAAAAAAGAAGGAGGAAATACATCTGAAGTTTGACCTGGTGACCCTACTGACCCCATCTGACATCAGCTTAAAAAAGACCTTCCTTGATACAAACATTTGTTTTAGGGATGTATGATATCGACTTTTTTCAGCTTATACAATAACCAATAATTTAACATTTTTGTATTTAACACACCTGAGGGTAAGAGAGGCTGAGATGTAGTGAGCAGAGATGGATAATTTAATATTCTGTCAATCTGTTCATCACTGTTGTTTACACAACAACAACAACAACAAACAACAGTTCTGACTCTTCAAATGTTCATTTATTTTTCCAGTAAAGTTCATCAACAGACATACGTTGGCTTTCATGGAGCATAAAGCCGAACAGTTGTTCGAAGCCAGCACAATTATTGTGCATCCCTAGTTTGTAGCTCAGCTAGCTCACTGGCAGCATCTGTCAGGGCTCAACAATAAGGATTGCCCCGGGTGAGAAAAGAACACGTATTGACACTGGGTGGAAGAACATATTGAAAAATATTGTTTAACGATATTTTATTTTGTGCTATTGTATCAATTATCCAAAATACTGTATCGGTTTTTGTATATAAACCCCGAAATGCTAGATAGCAGTGTAGATAAACGTAAACTGAGCCCTTTGATGTTGGATGTTACAGCGACTGTGAGAAATACACATTTACAAACAAACCCTAACTTTTTTATGTATATGGTGTTGTGTTTTTATACAGTAAGTTTTCCACAAATAGATTTTTTAATGTATTAATTTGCAATATATCGCCTAGCTTACAGTATCGCAATATATCATATGACATATTGAATCATAACCCCTGTATCGCCATACGTATTGTGTTGCCAGATTCTTTCCAATACATAGCCCTAATATTAACGATGGTTCCATTCCATTATGCCATCTCACCAAGATATGCCAGTGAACCTAAATAGGATGCAGCTATCATAATGTTAGTGTCACTTGTTCCTGTTATGACATTCAAAATGTCTACTGTGAAAAACTTTGTTTTTCCTTCTTCCCCATCCTTCCTTGAGGCTTTCATGAATAATGCCATAATCACTCCTTTCAGCTCTCTGTCCCTGATTGTCAAGAGTTACTCGTGCCTGTGTGTGTGAAAACTGGTTGTAATTATTGGTTTGTAGTGTTCCATTTGGTTGCTTAGTACACAGTTGAGTTTTATGTTCTTTCTTGTGACTAAACATAGAAAACCCACAGGACATAAACAGCGTGATATTCTCAAAGGAAAAGTGTGAGAAGGGAAGAGACAATATAGCTGTTTTTAGTCCTGCAGAGCATCAGGCCAAACTTAAATGCTCCAGCAAACACTAGCTATTCCAACAATGTGCCTCGCCTATGTCCTTTTGTGTGTACACACACACACACATGCATGCACACACACAGATTGTGTTGTAGAATATGGGTGGATTGGGTTTCCACTGTCCCAGGCTTATGGCTGAGAGGTGAAGGGCACTGACAGCAGTTGGATGTGTTAAATCCATCAGTAACACTGAATAACAACCAAGTGGAGCACAGCTCAGTTTGACCCAGTATGTGAGATTCACACACACACACACACACACACAATACTGTATGGTGTTGACTACAGTAGCTGCACCAGTTGTCGATGATCTCATCTCCCTGGTCATACCCTGCCCATGCTTGACCTGGTTCCCATAGTGCGTGCGTGCAAGAGTGTGTGTGAGTGCAAGTTAATGGCACACTAAGGCCAATCAAGAAGGTCTCTCTTACTTCCCCTGTCCCTCTCTCTGTCCTTGTCTCTCTCTCTGTCCCACCACATGCCATATTGGATTTTGCCTGCATCCCTTACCATAGTGACACCCAGAACCCCTACTACACACACACACACACACACACAGAGGAGAGTGTGTGTTCAAACAGTTGAGGGCAAACCACTAGATTAGACGGTATTGACACATTCTGGATCAGCTGTCATCTGTCGTTTATGACCTCTACACACAGAGCAGACAGTGAAGTGCAGGGCAATAAAACAGTACAAATGTCCTACAAGGGTCTTGCACTGTAAATGCTGCACTGCCATATACCTTCAATAGATTGTTTTATAGCATTAGATCATGTTCGAGGGCGTGAGATTGAAATGACATTGTTGAAACTGGAGGTCAGCTGGATTGATGTGTTGAAAGGGATGAAGGAAGGGTTTTTACAGGCTGGCTAGCGGCAAAAGCTGCTGGTTGTGGAAGTATTCTTCTCACCGTTCATTTTCAAAAAATCCATGTTCCTTTTAGGGTTGAGCTAGTACTGGGCTGAAAGGAGTATCTAGTACAGATAATGTACTAGTATCATCAGAGTGAAACATCTTGAAATCCGTACTTGTAATCTTGTACTTTAATCTAAAAACTATTTCTGTTAAAAAATGCCTAATAAATGTAACAACTTCAACTTCAACTTCAAACCATATCAGTTTTACGCTTCAATGAACAACTTCCAAAAGGCCCACCCACTTCCAGTTTAACCCTTCCTATTCAGAGTACAGACACAAGTACAGATAATTTAGTTGGTTGAACAGATACAGATACATATAATGGTGTACTTGCTAGTTCCTTAATATAGAAACTCGAGTGGTTAACAGTTTTCTCCATAGTATTAGAAGCACATTAAGTAGAATGGTAACCTTGAACTGATGACCTACAAAGAAGAGTTTCATGCCCTCCATGCACAGAAGTTCTCCGACTACGGTCACTAAAATGGTCTGAAAAAATGATGAGACTTTTACTTCGGGAACCAGGACAATAGCTCCTCCTGCTTCAAAACTCTACTCTACGATACGTTAATGTTAGTTCTAGTTTAGAGTGGAAATGAATGGCTATTGGTCCACTTGGTCTGTCTCTCTGATTCCACTGTGTGTTTGCATGGGGGGATGCATGTATAGAGCAGAGAGGCTGCCAGTGCTGTGAGGATTGTAGTGTTTTACAGGATTATGTGCTGTCAGCAGCACATGCCATACAATGCAATCTGTCCTGTTAAGGAGATCCCATAAATGCCCCTTTAAATGCCCCAGTCGGCCCAATCCTCCCCCACCTCAGTCCATAATCCCAGTCCCCGAGACATTGTTCATAAAAAGGATAATCCCAGAATTAACTGCTGCCCTGAATGAGGATAGTGCTCCTTGTCACGGACACACACACACACCGGACAAACACACCCACACACACACACACACACACACACACACACACACACACACACAGACCAGAGCATACTCACATAGGAAGATATTACAGTTTGGTTGGTGTAGTAAACCCATTAATAAAATAATTCCTCAAATTTACAAAAGTTCATTGTGGAATATGAGTAATATTTGTTTGCTTGAAAGGAAATTGCCACACTGAATTAGGCGTGGGTAAAAGACATTATACTGCCAGGGTTCCCACGCGTCCTGGAACACCTGGAAATTAATCAATATAACCAAATATCCTGGAAATAATCTATGTTGTCATCCCTTAACATTCCATTTTAACTTTTGTCTCTTAATTGTAATTGTAATTTTCAGTTATTATTTCAACCATCACTTCAAGTATCATTTGAATTTACCCTCCGTTGCCCTCAAGTTATTCAAATACACTCAAATATATGGCACTTACAGTCACGAGCATGTTTCGGATGGAGATGATAGATAGATATAAATTTTAATATAAAAGAAAATAGCAACAATATCAGCTAATAAATAGATCAGTAACACTTGATACCATGATATTAATCATATAGAAGGGATGAAGGTGATCCCTGTGTGACTGCTACAGCTCAGCCCGTGTCAGCACCATTCAATACCCCCCCCGGCCCTGTGCTTTTTTTATATCTGAGGGAAGTAGAGCAGAATGCTTTCATTCTTTCTGGGGAGGGATGTTGACAACATACTCTTGTCTCTTTTTTTCTCCCCGTCTTTTATTTGGCTGACAGCTGACATATTTCGGGTAGTGGGGCAAGTGGTGATGACGGAGGATTTGAAAGATAGATGGAGGAGTAGATGGAGGGGGGAGGATGTGGGGGGTGGGAGGGGGGGTATTCTACGAATGAGGGTCAACTTGACATAGAAAACTATTCATGCTATGATGGGAGGGGGGAGGGAGGGGGGTTGTGGTGAGGGAAAAAAGGGACCAAAGCTTTATTCAGGCTGGGAAGGAAGAGAAAGAAAGATGGAGATGAAGAGTGAGAGGGATGAGAAAGGAGAGAGAGAGTAGTGTATATTAGAGGGCGATGGAGAGAACAGTTAAACAGAGAGGAAGGCATCCAGTGAGGATGAATGAGAGTGATAGAGAGCTCCATGGCCTCATTGCTGGCTGAGCTCCAGCCCAGAGTTCATTATGTCAGTTGAGGCGCACGTGCGCACGTGACCAGCCAAAGCGTGGCCGCTCGCCCAAAGAGAGAGTCACACAAGGGGAAAAAACATGACTTGACGGCTCAGATCGACTTAACATTCACACCAACAAACTGCCTTCTAACTGTATAGCTTCTGTTACTGAGGTGTTCTGT